GGGCGTTGGGAAAGTCACCACGGTCGGGCCCCCCCCCCCCCCCCCCCCCATCTCACTGGGTTCCCCAGGCAGAACTCACACTGTGCCATGGACTCCATGTTCGAGGACGACATCAGCATCCTGACACCAGAGGCTTTGGGGCCGGATGAAGACTGGCTGGACAGCCCCAACACCGACCTGTCGGGGGAGATGTGCTCCGCGTCCCATTTCGCCCTCATCACTGCATACGATGACATCAAGAACCGCCTGAGCGGGCTGGAGAGGGAGAACTCCACTCTCAAACGGCGCCTGAAGATGTATGAGGTCAAGGTGAGAGCTTCGGGGTGGAGCTGGGGGGGGGGGCTGGGGGCGGGGGTCCCGCTGACGCTCTGTGCAGTGCCCACTGCTCGGCGAGTTCGGAGAGGAGCACATCTTCTCCATCTATGAGGCCAAGGAGACGTCGCTGCTCAAGAGTGAGAAGGCATCGCTGCAGCAGCAGCTCAACCAGTTCCAGCACGAGGTGCGTGGGGGGGGGGGTGGAGGGGGGATACTGGGAGCTTTGGAGGTTCCTTGGATGGGTGTTGAGCCCCCCACCCTGTCCTGCAGCTGGAGAAGAGCAAGGAGCGCGAGGAGCAGCTGGATGAGATGATCCAGGCCTATGAGAAGCTGTGTGTGGAGAAGGCAGACCTGGAGTCAGAGCTGGGCGAGATGGTGGGCACCGTGGGGATGGCATTGTGGGGATGGCATTGTGGGGATGGCACTGTGGGGATGGCACTGTGAGGTTGGTACCCTGAGGATGACACAATGGAGCTTCAGGGTCCCCTTCCCCAGCTCACAAATCCACTCCTGTCCCAGCGAGCTGCAGTGGTCATTGGTGACACTGCTGTGGCTTGGATGGGGGCTGCAGTGACACAGGGCTGGGGGCTGATGTGGTTTCCATGTGGTTCTGGGGCTGTGTTGGGGTTTTTATCCCTGCTATGCCCAGCGGTCCTCCCAGCTCCCCGCTGTAGCACCCTGCGCTTGGGTTCGCTGCAGGGCAAGCAATGCTCTGCAAACCCCACAGTGCTGCCCTGCCCCGGGTACAGCATCCCACCTCCAGCTGATGGGGGTCAGGATGAGGCAGGGGGCGATGGAGCTCACCCTTATGTCCCCCCCCCCCGGCAGCGGGCGCTGGTGGAGACGCACCTGAGCCGCATCCGGAGCCTGGAGCAGCAGCTGCGGCAGCGCGAGAGCAGCCCTTTCCCTGGGGTTGGCCCGCTGCCTGGCCAGGAGGTGCCTTTTCTCTCCCTGCACTCCAACCCTGGCCTCAGCCACGGTGAGCTGCCCCCCACCCCCCCTTCCCCCAGCATCATTCTGTGCCTTTGGGGCTGAGAAACGCTCCGTGCCCGCAGTGCTGGAGCGCCCGGGGGGGTGGCCGAGCCGTGGGCTGGAGGCTGAGCTGGAGGCAGCGCGGCAGGAGGCGCAGCGTGCGCAGCACCGCGAGGAGCACCTGAAGGCTGAGTGTGAGCGGCTGCAGCTGGAGCTAAAGCACCTGCAGGACAGCCGGCAGCAGGTAGGGAGTGGTGGGCTGCAGCCCCATGGGGGGTCAGGGGGGAGTGGGAGCTCATGGTGCATCCCGTCCCATCCCCAGGAGCAGTCAGAGCGGGACATGGCCTGGGTGAAGAAAATGGGCGATGACCAGTAAGTGTCTGCAGGGTGCTGGGGTGGGATGGAATATGATGGGGTGAGGGGATGGGATGGGATGGGATGGGATGGGATGGGATGGGATGGAATATGATGGGGTGAGGTGATGGGATGGGATGGGATGGGATGGGATGGGATGGGATGGAATGGAATGGAATGTTGTGGGATGAGATGTTGGGGTGGGATGCAGTGGGATGGGATGGAATATAATGGGATGAGATGATGGGATGGGATGGATGGGATGGAATATGATGGGGTGAGGTGATGGGATGTGATGGGATGGGATGGAATGTTGTGGGATGAGATGTTGGGGTGGGATGCAGTGGGATGGGATGGAATATAATGGGATGGGATGGGATGGGATGGGATGGGATGGGATGGGATGGGATGGGATGGGATGCTATGATGGGTTGCGCTGTGATGGGATAGATGGGGTGGGATGGGATGAGATGGGGCACAGTGATGGGACGTAATGGGATGGATAGGTTGGGATGCCATGCGACGGAATGGGATGCAGTGGGATGGGACAGAGGGGATGGGATGAGCTGTGATGCGACGGGATGCAATGTCTGGGACGAGTTGCAATGCAATGGCATTGAGATGCGGTGGGATGGGATGGATGGGCTGGGGGCTCATGAGATGCCCTGTGCGGCACCGCTCCACCCTCTGCCCCATCACCTCCTTATGGACAGGGCTGGGGGCGCCGTCCCTCCTCCCTTTTTCCCCCTCCTCTTTCGGGGCTCTGCGCCGTGCGGGGAGCCGCCACTGCCCGCAGAGGGCGCCGTTGCCACGCAGCACCGCACCGCGCCGAGCCCCATCGGCGCCCAACGCGTGGCGGCCCCGGCTGCGCTCTCGCTGTGCCGTCCCGGGGCGCGGGGACGCGGGGGGGTTGGAAGGCTTTGCTCCCGTTCCCCCCCCGGGCTGTGACGGATTCGGCCGCACCTCACATCGCATCTCCCTGGGCGCGTGGGGCAGTGCGGAGCTGTGGACAGATCGGAGCTGACGTTCAGGGCGGGGGGTGGGAAGGCGCCGTGTTTCCCCCCCCCCCTTCCTTTTTCTCGCCCCGACGGATGCTTTTGCTGTTTCTGCTCTCGGATCCGCACTGAATTCCACCCCTCCATCCCTAAACACCCCCAGGCCTTCCCCGTTCATTCACTTCAGGTTTGCAGAGCTCAGCCCCGCTCTGCCTGCGGACCCCCTGCGCACAGCCCCCCTCCAACAGCTCCACGCTCCATTTATCCGCCCTTCTCTGCTCAGGATGGGGAAACTGAGGCACCACCAGCCCCACACCCCACACCAACCCCCTTTCCCAGGGCAGATCCCCTTCCCCAGCGCTGTGCTTTGTCCTCCCCAGAGCTTTTCTTGTAAATAAGGCCCTTTTTGGTAACTGCCCCCTTTCCACTTTTCGGCGCTGTGCGCCTTCCATCTCCGGGTGACTTCTCTTTCTTTCTTTCTCCAGATGAGTCACCCTGCCTCTGTAGTGCAGCCGCAAGGGCAGCAGGGTTGGGGTTTGACTCACACCCCCCCCCTATGGCCGCGCTGCCTTTTGTTGTGGGGGCGACGGCCGCTGCCCCACCTGCTCCTTTTTGGAGCTGAAAGGCTTTTTGTGCCAACTCCCAGTGCGGCACCGCGAAGCCCCGCGCCTGCGCTGCTGTGCATGGGAGCACTGGTGGCTTTTTCCTTTTCTCCCTCATGTTTTGCTCCTCGTTGGCTGTTCCCAACCAAACCAAACTGAAGGGTTCTTCCTCAGTTGGGGCTGCAGGATCCCAATGCATAGAGCAGCACCCGGGGGAGAGGAAGGGTTGTTGCAGGGTCCGTCCTGGTTGAGATCTCCAACAGTGGCAATGCTGCAAACCATGGCTGTGTCCTGCCCTCCCGTGCCACTTTTTGGTAGGATTTTGTGGCTTGTAATGGGATTTTGTGGCTTGTAATGGGATTTTATGGCTTGTGGTGCATCTCAAGGAATCCAGCCCGTGGTTCCCTTGGTGCATAGGGTCACGGTGGCACCTCAAGGACACCCCCAGCCCCTCTGTTTTGCTGTGCCACCCCATGTCACCCCCTGCACATGGCACAGGGAG